TGTTTAGGATTAATACTGTTCTGTTTTCTATTAGGTATATTTTTTTTATTTGGATAGAATGTTCAGTAATAAATATTTTTCTTGTAGGAAACAATCTGGGTTTCTTTTTTTTTCAGCAAAACTCAAGATGTTAAACACAAATCTGTGATAAATAAATATTTCACACTAGTAAAATTTTAGGATTCCTGAGTGCTAGAAAGATGCAGGTTGAAGTAGATGACATAATATCAGAGATAAGGGAGGCAGAGCTATAATAGGTGTCCCGTACTGCTGTTCCTAATATATGTTAACGATGTTTGAATCCCTCTGAATTACTTGATAATCAAAACAGTTACAGATAAGTTTAGTGGTAGAAAAAACGGTATTCATCAATTTTAACATGCTAACTGTAATACAATCGAATTATCTTCAAGTCGCCTCGACGACCAAGCTATTAGGCACGATTTTTGATGCAAAGTTGTCATTTGCTGAACATGCCGGTTATGTCTGTGATAGTTTGAATTGGACCTTCTATGCTTTACTCCAGTTAAAAACAATGCTAGGACAAAATGATCTGCTATCTATTTAAAACAGTGTAGCATATTTACATTTATCATACAGGTCGAAATGCAGTGAAACGGTATTTTTATCACAGGAAAGGATTTTAATGCTACTTTTTAATAAAAGGCAACGAGACAGCTTAAACATATGTAGCAACTATGTAACTGGGAAAACCGACTTATTATTAGTACAAAATCATAATACATCTTTATTCGAAAAGTCACCATTTTACAACTGTATTGTACTTCACAATAAGTTGCCTCATGATGTACGATATCTGGCTGATTATAACATGTTTAAAAAAAGAGTTAATGCTGACTGAGCGGTGTGTTTATAATTTAAGCAAATACATGTCCGTTATGTGGTGATTTATCCTACTTTAAGAGTTGCTATATGTGGTTAGTAAATATTATTATTATTATTATCATTATTATCTAAAAATATACATGGTAACCAGCACAAGGAATATTGGCACTTACTGAACCAATGCAGCCATCTCGGGACTATGTCAAAACATAAAAAAACATTTTGGTCCGCCGGTGCGCTGATCCTTGACCTCTCTGTAACTTCAGGCTTTGATTAGAGTTTAACATAGCTGACAAGGACGAAAACATGTTTGAAAATAGATCCAGTACCAACGGAGGGAGCTACTGATACGGAAAATCGAGATCGCTCAAACTTAATTCTTTGAAGTTTCAGAGACTCCTGCTAATTTTCAGAAATTTATTTTGTTGTGGTTAAAAATTGTGGTGAGGCGTTTTAGAGGATGTAAAGGCTCAGCGAATCAAGTCGTACGACAAAAACGTTAAGTGTTTGTTTTAGGTTCTCACTTTGTTTTAAGTTCAATCCGCCTGACACATCTTGGCAGCGGTGCTTTCTTCAATGTCACGTAGTCTGGGTTGAGGCAGATGCCGGCTGAGAGTTACAGTATGATTTCAGTCTAAGCTAAGTTGGTATTTTTCACTAGCAAAGAAACGCAATGTGGACAGTGTCTACAAAAATAATGCCACATACGTATAACCATCTGTATACTACGAGCCCCTTCCCACTTCAGTTGGCCCACTTCAAGATTTGTACCAAAATATGCCTTTATAAACTAAACATGACGAAACCATTTACTTCTAAAACTATTTATTTTCTCAAAAACATTTTATAATAATAATAATAATAATATTTATTTACTCTAAAATACAGGGAACATGAAACGAGTAAATAAATATAATATATCCATAGGAGGACAACGCCTGTGCATGGATCATAATGTATGTTGAATTGCAAAATATAATAAAATAGAGAGAAAAAAGAAATTATTGGTAAGAATGGTAGAGCATTTATTGTGTAATATTTGAGATTATTTTATTAATTTGATTTCTCCCAATCGTGTTAATAAATTTTTTTAATTTTTTTTTTTGAAGCCTAATGTATTGCGTAATTGTTTTAAATTATTTGGTAAATGTTCGTACAATTTTGGAGCTATATACAGGTGACATCGTTTCATTAGGGATTTGTTTGGTTTAGGAACATTTTTTGCGCGTAATTTATATCTGGTTTTATGATTATGTTTAATTATGTCGTGTTCACTAATAGTTTTGTGATAATGAGTGATGGTATGTAAGAAGTAAAGTTGTTTAGTATCATATACTTGTGCATCATTATATAAGTCATTAGTTGGGTATAATTTTGATTTGCCTAACATAGATTTTAAAATTCTTCTTTGAAGTACATCTAAATCGTTAAAGTATGTCGTGCATGCAGCATCCCACACTACTATACCATATGTTATGTGTGGCTCGACTAAAACTTGATATATTATTCGTAGATAATATTCAGTTAATATACCGGTTAGAAATTTTATTTTATATGCTATGAATCTAATTTTCTTTAGTATGTGAGAAATATGTACATCCCATCTCAAGTGGGGATCTAGATAAATTCCTAAATATTTTGTATCATTAACTCTATTGATTTTTATATTTTTATCATTTACCTTAAACTGAAGGTGGTTATATTTTGGTAGATGATTAGATAGTGATGAAAATGGTAAAAAATGAGTTTTAGTAAAGTTAATTGTTAATTTTCGGTTATTAAACCACTGAATAATTTTGCAAAAGTCATTTTGGATAATATCTTTTAAGTCGTTCCAATCCTTACCTTTATAGAGTATAGCAGTATCGTCTGCAAAACTGACTATTTTACCAGTACTGTTAATTTTGAATATATCGTTTAAATAAATATTGAATAACAGAGGACCCAAAATTGTACCTTGTGGAACACCACATTTAACAAACATTTCTTTACTATACGAGCTTAATAATTTTACTGATTGCGGTCTATTTGATAAATAATTTTCCATTAAAGTATACATCTTTCCACGAAAACCTATTCTTTCTAAGATTTCCAAAAGTATATTGTGGTTAACTGTGTCAAACGCTTTTTGTAAGTCCACAAATACGCATATCGATGGTACTTTTCCATCTATATTTTGGGTTATTTCATCTACTATACTTAATACCCCATCTGTTGTAGATTTGCCCGCTATAAAACCATATTGATTTGAATTTAGAATTTTGAATTTATTAAGAAAATTAATCATTTTATTAAGGAGTAATTTCTCAAAAACTTTAGCTAAACTTGATATAAGTGAAATAGGTCGATAGTTAGTGACGTCCGTATTATCATTAGATTTATAGATAGGTATGATGATTGCTGTCTTGAAAGCTGATGGAAATACTCCAGATTGGAAGGATTTGTTAATGATATAAGCAAGTGGTTCTGCTATTTGCTTGGCCAGTATCTTTAGATGTTCAGCTCTAATTTCGTCAACTCCAGGGCTTTTTTTATTTTTTAGAGTCATAATGGCATTGAAAACATCCTGATAGTCTACTTCAGTTAATACAAATGAATTATTCAGTCTTGTTTCATGCAGATGAATATCAGCATTTTGTTTGATATTATTTGCTAAGTTTCCTCCTATATTCGTGAAAAATTCTATGAACTCATCACATATTTGTTGAATATTGTCTGTTTTCTGTCCTGTTTTTGTTTTTATTTCATTAATATTGTTTTTTGAATAGGATGACTTATTGAATATATCATTGACAGTGGACCATAGGTGTCTAGAGTCATGTGAATTATTATTCAATTGTTTTATATAGTAATTTTTTTTTGCTTTTCTCAAAAGTTCTATAAATTTGTTTTTATACTGATTATAATGATCTATATTTTCTTTCGTGGGTAAATATTTCATGATTTTATACAGTCTTTCTTTTTCGTTTGCAGATTTTATTAGTCCTTTGGTCATCCAATCATTTCTGCTTTTTTCCTTGTGACTTATTTTAATCTTATTAGTACTAACTTCAATTACTTTTTGAATTTTGTGTATTAATAAATTTGTAGCTTCGTCTAAAGAATTTGTTAAAAAAATTTTGTCCCACGATTCCGTTTGTGCGTTAAATATTAATTTTGAGTTGTCAGTGAAATATTTGTATTCAAGGTTTCTTTCATTTTTTGAACTTGGGCAGTTCTGGTTTTTATTTTGTGAAGATATCAATAATACAGTGGAATAATGATCTGTAATATCGGTTTCATAGATAATAGGCATGTAAGAAAAAATATTGGAAATATCCTTTATAAAGCAGTGATCAATGCAGGTTTTACTGGTGGGTCGTGTTACTTTATTTATGTATGATAAAAAACCATTACTTGATAAAATGTTTAAATATTCTTTCACCATAGAATTTTCCTCTAAAATGTTTATATTGATGTCGCCTATAAATATTTGATTATGAAGGTGATTGTTTTCATTGTTTTTTAATAGTTCATCTATGTCTCTTATAAATGTATGAGGTTCTGAAGATGGTGGTCGGTAAACACAAGTAATTTTGACTCTACGATTTTCAATTTGCATTGTTAGATTGATACCTTTTAGTCCATTGTTGATTGTAAATATGGTATGGTTATAAGGCAGATTGTTTCGTACATACACCATCACTCCATCGTTTTGATTATGGTTACCAAAATTATACAATGTATCGTACCCTTCTAAATGAAACAGAGTCACATCGCCCACTTGCCATGTTTCGGATAGAATGATTATATCTATATCACTTTGTATTCTTTTCAAAATTAATTTAAAGTAGTCAAAGTTATGTTTTATACTTCTGATGTTCATATGATAAATTCTAACAGATATTTCAGGATTTTGTAAAAAAGAATTTAGCTCGCAAGTATCATGAGCAGTATTAGTACTAATACGTTGAATTTGGAAGTTATTTACATAGTCGTGTGTCATAAATGATGCAATATTTATATATTTTAGAGACACTCTAGTCGTAAAAAGTACATATTTGACATCACTTAGACCTATAACTAATAGAACATCTGAACAAATAAACAATGTGCGAATAAATGCGCGAAGTTAACAAAGCAACAATTGAAAGATTACCACTGAGTAACATCACCTTTATTTTTTATTACGGCTGAAATTCTTTGGGGCATAGTGTTAACCAAGTTTTGCCAAAAATTTGGTGTAAAACAATCCCATATTTCTTGAAGCTTTCGTCTCAGTTCGGTGATTGTACGAGCAGGATGTTCTCGTAGAACCTTTTTCATCCCGTGCCACAAAGTTTCAATAGGTGACAGATCTGGACTGCTAGAAGCCCATTTCAATAGTGGTACATTATTTTCTTCCATCCATTCTATAGCCTTTTTTGAGGTATGGCACGGTGCACCATCTTGCTGAAACACAAAATCCTCGCCGGATGTCAAACATTCTTCCATCACTGGTAAAAGCGATTCTTCTAAAATTGCCAAATATTTGTTTGTATCCACATTTCCATCAATAAAATGAAGTTTTCCTACTCCTTTTGATGACATACTGCCCCAGACCATAATGGATGCTGGAAATTTCACTTTTCTCTTCAAACAGTCAATATGGAATGCTTCATTTTTCTGCGAATTACTCTATTGCGACTGTCACCAACACAAACTTCGAATCGGGCCTCATCACTCCATTGTATTGCACACCATTGTTGAGGTCTCCATTGTCTATGTTCTTTAGCCCAACTTTAGGGTTTTTACTTCACTTTTTTTTATAAGAAAACTTACCTTGCAAGTGCTAAATCCCAGTTTGTGGGCCTCTCTATGAGTTGTGAACCTCGAAACTCTCCTTCCAACAGCGTCACTCCACAGAGCGGTTAATTGTAAATAATTGGCATGCCTATTTTTCACAATTATTCTTTTTATGCTCTTCGGTCGGCATTTGTGATATTACTTTTTTTCACATATCGTGGCTTAATATTAACTGAACCAGTTACGTTATATCTTCTAACAATGTTTCTCACACTGTACCGCGATAAGTCTAACAAAGTTGCAGTTTCTGAGTTTGATTTCCAGAACTAAAAAATTAATTATCAGTAACCGAATTTTCTCACTAATAACCTTTCCTCTACCCATCTTGAAAACCTTAACTACCCAAAACTATTTTAAACGTATTCTGACAGCTGTGATTAATGAAAACAATTGTCATGCCTTTATTTTTCACAGCCGCCTATGCGGTATAGACTTATTTTGCATTGAAATGAAAATAGGTTGATATGCTGTAATTGCAACATGTGTTATTTTTATGCTGCAAATTTGATTAGGGAGTGATAATGTTGGTGTTTTCTACTATATATTATCAAAATATTCATTGTTAATATTTTAAACCTATAACACCCTGCTACATTTTTATTATTTGTGTTTGATAAGAAAACACTAAGATTTCAATAGTTGGGCCAACTGAAGTGGGAAGGGGCTCGTATATTAAGTGGAGGACAGTTTGCTCTAACTATTCACATTATTGCAGGTATCAATTATTTTATAATAACAGCCTCTGTATTTCATTACTATTATATGCATTTTTTTGTCAGTCAAGTAGTATATTTTTACTCACTTTTGCTCGATTACTTATCACATGCGTTATGTAAGGCAAAAGTGGTTGCGGCGTTTCCTCCAGATTTTGCATATCCTGTTTCCTTACCGTATAGTCTTACAAAATTCTTTTTACTAACTCCGAGAACTCAAAGAGGTAATCGGTCTCGAATCTGTTTTTACAAGTTTCTATAATGTCTGATTAAAATGACTTCGCCAGACTGGTATCCCACTAGGTACAGAGAATTTATTCAAAAGCTACCACAATATCGTATCAATATAAAAACCCAGACAAAGGTAAGCAAAACACCAATCACTTAGTAGTCGCTTCAAAGTAACAAGTGATTTTCAAAAACGCTAAACGTGAGAGAAAAAAAATGTTTACCAGGACATCGAAAGCAAGTGCAAGTGACGTCTTATTCGCTGAGCGACTTAACACGCTTTGTGTGTTTGAAGAATGAGAATACCAGCCTTGGATCTTGGTTATACTATGCAAATATCAGAGTCCAGAGCCTTTCTACATACATTCGCGGATTAAGCTTTGATCCCCGGTAAAATAGGCCTTAAATACACAATATGGCATCTTCTTCCTAATTAAGGCCTCCCTCTTATAACTCCTAACTTACTGAAAGATTTGCCATTCTCACTTTCAACTGCGTCAGCTGGATGTCTGGACTGCGCCAAAATAAATCCGCAGTCTCCAAGAAATGAACAAGCAATTCACACTGCCAGCAACAAGAAACAAATATCGTTTTTTACTGCAAACACGATTTTACAGCTCCAGGGGCAGTCAACAGTTAAAAGTTATACAAAACCGCGAGTGAACGTGCTATTTCTTACAATAAAAAGTCGAGTAGCGAAGAAGGAAAAAGTCTTGGTGTTACTTGTTTATCCTCAGAATGAGAAAAGAATCCAATATCAGTCTGCATGCGGGCGGAAAACGTACACACGTAGTAGTAAAAGTGGAATTGAAAAACTTTTCCGCAATTCTTGACTACGGCTGCTATTTGTAGACCGTAACGCCGGCTACCATTCTGCAGGTCTTTACCTTATTCATATTCATGTTAAATATGTGGTCCCGTGTAGCTTGTTTCCTTATTGCAATTGGTTGGATATGAAAAACTTTAGCGATATCATTAGAACATCGAACAGAAGCTTAAGGTTTTTCCATACCTATATGTTTGTTTTTGAGATACAAAAATGTCCTGAAGTACAGGGTGTTTCAATTTATTATTGCATAACTTTAAGATTTGATAGAACTTTTAAAATTAATGCATAAAGTCTATATAAACATGGGTCGAAAAATGCGTGGCTTCCGAAATACAGGGTGTTTAAATTTACTTTCTAAAATAGTTTTTTTTAAATATTTCGAACAATATTTGATGTGTAACAGTGAAAATTGGTATACAAGGGTTTTTTGGTACGACAAAACGAACCATTTACATAGTTGTACTTACCCGCTAGAGGGCGCTCTCTACTGTACCTTTAGTGTATTAAAATGACCGAAAATTTTTTCTTAGTGCAATTTCTTGCTTTTTGAATAAAAAAACTGATTCTTCGCACTTTTCAACATAAAAAAGCTCTCTTGTGAATTTTCGTTATAGTTAGCCGTTTTTGAGATATTTCGACTTTTAAGGTTCGATGCATTTTTAATTACTTATGATAAAATAACGTTAAAAATTCAGTATCTCGATAATTTTTAGAAGTAGGCTGTGCCTGCAAATATTTTTGAAATTGAAAGCAGAATAAGGTTAAACGTCAATTATTTGACGTTAGTTTTGATGTCTGTTGAAACCTGAAACGTTTTTTTGCAATTGTGAATGCACGAAATTTAGTTTCTTTTACCTGTTTTTTTTGTAAGTTTTATAAAAATGCCATTTTCTCCAATCAAGTGTTAGCGGATATCCATTTTGTGTATGGCTTGGTAAATGGAAACGCAGCAGAAGCAGCCAGAGAATACGCACGAAGATTTCCAAACAGACGACATCCAACTCGCTCAGTATTTGTAAGAGTGCATCGCCAAATAATTGAAAATGGTTTTGAAAATTTCCAAAGGGATCAAAACATAAATGTTCGTCAGCGCAGATTTACCCGTATGATTCTGCATGAGTTTGATAGAGATCCGACCACAAGTGTTAGGAGAGTTTCTGGTGCCTTGAGAATTTCAGCAAGACATGTTCACCGTGTTCTTAGAAATGACCATAGACGTCCTTACCATTTGCAACCTGTGCAAGGACTTAGCCAGGGGACGGAGAACGAAGAATCACATTCTTGATAGAACTGATAATAATAGGGAGTTTTTAAGTAACGTTTTATGGACCGATGAGTTATGCTTCACTAGACGTGGAGTGGTAAATTTTCATGGTCAACATATTTGGTCGCATGAAAATCCGCATGCAGTTCGGGAAAGAAATTTTCAGCATGAATTTAGTGTGAACGTGTGGATTGGTGTCTACCGTAATCGACTATTTGGACCCTACCTTTTGCCTGCAAGGTTAAATGCTGCGACCTTCTTGGAATTTTTAAAGGCTGAACATGCAAATATGAGGGATGATGTTATGTTAGATTTAAGAAGATTGGCCTGATTCCAGCTTGATGGTTGTCCAGCTCATTATTCGAGAATAGTTAGAAACCGGCTGGACGAAAATTATCCAGAAAGATGGATCGGCCGTGGAGGACCAGTCGCCTGGCCTTCACGATCCACTGACCTAAATCCATAAGATTTCTTTGTGTGGGGATTTCTAAAAGAAAAAGTGTACCAGACTCCTGTAACCACAAGAGACATGCTAATAGACAGAATCAGGAATGCATGTGATGAAATAAGGCCTTATTTGAATAATGCTATACCACGTTCGATCATTCGTAGATGTGAATTGTGTATTGAACAATTGGGTTTACATTTCGAGCAACTACTTTAGATTTTGTATGTTTGTCCTAACTATCCAATAGCATTTTAGTTGTAAATAATTAATTTAATTTGTTAAAAATAATATTGGAAAATTAAATATTCTGTTTTTTTGTGTTTATTTGGAGTTAGGAATTATTGCTGTCTTTAAAAACACAATCTAAACGATCATCTTAATTACATGTAATGCCCAAAATGAAAATGTAAAAAAAAAATATTATTTTCCCATAAATAATTAAAAGTGCATCGAACCTTAAAAATCAAAATATCTCAAAAACGGCTAACTATAGCGAAAATTCACAAGAGATCTGTTTTATGTTGAAAGGTGCGATGAATCAGTTTTGTTATTCAAAAAGCATAAAATTGCACTAAGAAAAAATTTTTGGTCATTTTAATACACTAAAGGTACAGTAGAGAGCGCCCTCTAGCAGCTACAGTAAAACTATGCCCATGGTTCGTTTTGTCGTACCAAAAAACCCTTGTATACCAATTTTCACTGTTATACATCAAATATTGTTCGAAATATTAAAAAAAAAACTAATTTAAAAAGTAAATTTAAACACCCTGTATTTCGGAAGCCACGCATTTTTCGACCCATGTTTATATAGACTTCATGCATTAATTTTAAAAGTTCTATCGAATCTTCAAGTTATGCAACAATAAACTGAAACACCCTGTATATACAAGTAGAGGCCTTGATAAAAATTAATCCATTGAGAATTTTAGTATCCAATTGGCAAGGAAGTATTCTAACTGTTTCAGAAGTGAGATTGGACTCATTTTCGTCGGTCTGTGTAATCCTTGATCTCTCTGTAAGGTA